CCAAAAAAAAAAAAAAGAATCTATGAATCCGCCCTAAAGTACCTTTGAATAAATGCAGCTGTGCAAAGAGCTTTCAGAGACGTTTCAACACAAACACATGCATTTTGTTTCATTACCCAGAGTTCTCTTTCCTTCAGGATCCACTTCCTGGGCCATTCTCAAAGCTTCTGTTGTTGCTATGTCAACATTACATGGGACAATAACCAAATTAATGGTCTCCCTCTTTTTGATGAATTTCATAATTAGGCTTCTGATCTGAAAGAACGAATTATGACATTAGTAAATTCTATACCTCACATTGTATGTGGTACCAATTCTCCAGTTTGATGTTATCGGCAATACATCCCACATGATATGATTCAAAACATGTTCCATAGGAATAAGTAACACCTGACAGAATTAACTACCATTCCATGCATATGAATCATCAGAAGATCAGAGAGACAGACTGACCTGTTCAGCTATATCATCTGGCTGACCTTTCACAGGTACCCTGGCAATCCCAGGGAGATCAATCAGAGTGAGATCACACACATCTTGGGAGCTGATCTCCAAAGTGATGAGGTCCTCACAGATTCCCACACCTTCTCCAGCCAGATCGTTTTGAGCTGAGAAAAACCATAGAGTCCATGATTTCCACAGTTCACTTACCCCAGCAAGTGATCAGACTAATTTACCCATAAAAATACCTTCTTTATTGCTTTACTACAATGGAGAGTAGTAGTAAAAGTAACTACTAAGTCACTAATGTTTTTGTACTTAACTTATTACAGATTTTACTATATGCAAATGAATCTGACCATAGGACTTTGGTTGAATCTTCCTTGACTGCTAAGCCTATGTGTGGGTGTTTTTGTAATAATTACATTGTGGGGACCAGATTTCCAAGCAATGTGGTAAAAACTTGTAACTTTTTACCTTGTGGGGATGTTTTTCAGGTCCACAAGGGAAAACTTATTTTACAAAAATCTGTGAATGCAAAAAAAAATTAACTAAAAGATGCCAAAAGCCATCTGTTTTGGTTGGTTACTTAGTTAAGGTAACCTCTGAGTAGGGTAGGGGTTAAGGTCATTGTAGTTGAGATTAGGGTTATGCCCATAGAAATGAATGGAGAGTCCTCATAAATGTTGACATTGTAGGACCATTTTTTCAGACAAGGGGAAATTAAAAATTAAATTAAAATTAAACTGCAATCAAACAAACTAAAAATCTAACCAAAAGTCTAGTATTTTGTTTGGTTACTTATGGTTAATGTTAGGGCTGGGTAGGGGTTAGGGTGTCATTGTTGGGATTAAGGTTTCGCCCATAGAAATAGACAGTGCCCATGAAGATATGAATACTGGTGTGTTTGTGTGTGTGTGTGTGTGTGTGTGTGTGTGTGTGAGTTGTTCGTTATTGTTCAGGAAGTCTGAAGTGAAAGTACAGAATTAGCAGAAGTTTAGGTTTAGGAATAGTGTGCCGATACGGGGAAGAGCTATGGTTTCGCTGTAGATGTTCACCAGCCAACCTTTTGCCACGTAGCTTTCGACCTTTGAAGGGTCATTAAACTCGATGTACTCATCCTTGTAGGAGATGACCGCGTGCCACTGGACTCCCCCCTTCAGCCTCCGGAGCTTCAGCTCCAGCGGGCAGCGTGTCACGATACCTGGAGGACAGAGGACATCACAGTCAGCTCCCTCTTTGTGGTCCTCTGTCATGTTTCAGCTAAAATAGTCACACTTTGCTGTCCTTCAGAAGAACATGACAGCCACTATTAAATCTCTCAGAAAAGCTGAACATATATGTTCATATTGAATCATATTTAAGCGTATTACTATTATAAATCCAAGGGGGTAAAACAAGTAATATTAGGTAATATTCCTTACCACTGCCCCTGGGCAGGGACACCCCAGACAAGGCTTCCAATACGGAGCTTTTCCCAGAGCTCTGGTCCCCAATCACAGCAATGGCCGGCAGCGATAGGTCCCTTTCAATGCCAGTCATTCTCAGGGAGTCCACCAGATCGATGTAAGGTCGGACTCGCTCTTCCAGTTGGCTGTGAACCACTCCTTCCATTTGCTTGATAGAATAGCTACAAAATAAAGTTGCACATTTCCTTATGAAGACCTTCCCTGTAACCCATTAATCAAAGATATTTTTTTGAAAGCATGAAGCTGTACCTGTCTTCATTTGGGAGACTGAAAACTTCAAGGCTTTCCATTGAACTGTGAAATTCTTCATGAAATCTAAAAAAGAAATAAAAATAAACACCATAATACATAAACACCATGAGTCTTGCTCATCTTCTCCTGATGATGATTGTGATCATTTGTGAACGCTTACTGCTTCATAAACATTGTACTCAATCAGAAGAACTGTAAGAAGAATGAAGCTAAGTGATCCTTAAATCACTATGACAAGCTCATGCAAAAAATGTGTGTGTTTTTTTTTAAGATGATGGTCTCTTACTGTGTCTGCTGAGGATCAGTAGCAGGCAGTTGGAGCTCAGCAAATGTAGAAGTCATGGTGTAAAAGTTTGCAGAACATACGGGGCTAGCCAGCCTCTCAGTTGCGGAAGCAGGAAAATCCTGGTTCTGGTGCCTTTTTGGCTGTACTATTATAAAATTCACAATTACACAATTAGATAAATTACCATACAGATATTCTATTGGTAAAAGAGAGAAACTTCCCTAATTTCAGTGAGTGATAAGAAACATCAAACAAATTTGTGGTTGAATTGGAACCAAAAAATATCATATTGTTGTAACATGATGTTTTTAATAGCTTTAAAAAAATAGGAAAAGTGGTTAATTTATCCACTTAATAGAACAAGTAAATCATCGTGTCCGAAGTACATATTGTTGAAAAACTCGCTGTAAAATTCCTAAGTTAGAGCCCCACTCAAAATGTAGTTAGATTACATCATATTTGGGGGTATTACTTGTGTTCAGGCCTGGAGTGGCTAATCGGGAGATTTCCCGGTGGGTCGCTTGAATTTTGGGCCTGTCGGAAATAAAATCGATTTGACAGTCCTTGCATTGGTGAAACTGAAACAGTAGCACGTAAGATCCACATTTACAGCTGACATATAATGATACATGACATGGGTGCTACCACCTGAGGGAGGTCTCCCCTTCCCAATCGCTCAAGTTGGTTACGCCCAACAGTCCGACTTTGATCCTACAGATTGTTTAACTTAGTAAAATAGCAATTAGCGTAACAGTATGGAAAAGAAGAGACCAGGAGGGGCTGAAAAGGCCAGACTAAGAAAAGAGCGTTAGAGGAGAATGCGGCCAAATGTGCCTAAATCTGAGAGATTTTTTCAAAAGAACTGATAACAGGTAAATGTGGTTAACCTGTTGCAAAATATTAAACCAATTTAAATATTAGTGTATTTCTATAGCTTATCATGACGAATCAATGTGTGCACAAATGTAATTTTAAGAAAAAAAAAATGTATATAAAAAACTAAAGCACAATCTAAGTATTCAGTAAAATGACCATTTAACCATTTTGTAGTTTCTGACCAGTAGTCCCCTGTCAGTCAGTTCTGCCACGAATGAGGGACTGATGAGCAGTGAGGATGCCAGAAGGGCGGAGGGGGCAGGTATTATATATGAATTAAAGTTACTTCATTTAAATCCACATACAGTATGCAGAAGTTCATGAGATTTACATTTTAGATTCAGAGGTAAACTACACAGATATGTATTAGTGAAATTAAAAGACTAATATGTTTTTGTACAGCATATTTCAGGCACAAACGTATTGTGTTGTATATGAAAATATATTTTGACACTTTCAATCACTCAGATTGCCTGTGAGAAAAGCTTCTCTACCCTTAAATTTGTTAAGAACAGGTTACAAAGCTCACTGACTCAGGAGCACTTGGAGGCCTTCGTGCTAATGTGCACAGAGAAGGAAATCCTTATGTTGATAGATAACGAGACGGTAATAAACAAAATCGCAGAGACTAGTTCACTACTCAGGTAGCTGTTACCATCATAGATGGCTACTGTTATAGATATTATGTTATTGTTGTTAAAGCCATTTACAGGTAAAAAATTGTATAGTAGTACAACATACCTCACATGTGAAGAACTTGTGTTTCGTTCATATTTGAAAAAAGCAAATGAAACCAGTGAATAATAAGAAGTGAAGTATTGACTCATTTATCCAGTTTTCACTTTCCTGAAAAAAAAAGTGGGCTGGTCATGGGCATGAAACCCCTGGGCTGAAAATTGGCTCCACTCCGGACTTGCACTGAATTGGAAATATTTTAGAAAAATACACTGAAATACAAGGCTTTACAGAACAGTGTTACTATTAACATGTAAGGTTATAATTACACGATTTTAATAACAATAGGTCGTGATCTAAAGTGGCATGAAACTCCAGGGCTGAAAGTGAGTCCCACTTCAGCCCTGCTTGTGTTGTCCTGCAGCGAGAAATGAGAGCGAAGTAGAATGAAAACATTTACCTTTATTTCAGGATGTATTCTAAGAAATGAAGTTATAAAAATACATCCATAATAAGACTTATAAAAATAAAGTATTCCCATGGCTCAACCTGCCCCAGGTTAGGGGTAAGTTAGTCAATCTGGGGGGTAAATTCATCATCTTTTTAATTAAACCTGCGAATATTTCAGTGGTGCGACAGGTGATATCGAGACGTCGGACCTGGTCTTGCCAAACTGAAGCACAGCGCCTCGAAGCTGAAGTCGGAATTTGCTTCATTTATGCAACATCACCTGACCGATGACGTTCGACTCCTGCTGAGGTGTCAGAGGTTTCAATGCCAACAGGTGTTACACCGTATTTTGTGACCGTCGTAATGTGTGACTGCAGAGGCGCTGTTTCACATATTATTGGGAATGAAGGCGATGTACCTGTTCACGCGCACGAGCCCTCTGTGAATTTCGTGCACTGTATTTTTTTTTTTGCCTTTTTCATTGAAAGTACCGCAATTTATCGAGCTTTTTCAAGGCGGCTGCGCTTCCACTTTCTCTTCCGTCCTCTTATTTGTAATTCTTAGTACTATCTGCAGAGCTATGAGTGGAAATAACTTTTGCATGTTCTTTTAAAATCAGCATTCGCAGATAAAATTGGTGGTTAAAAGAGTAAAAACAGCTGCAAAAAACATAACTGATGTTGCCATTATTTTCCCTGATTTTTCGCTTTTTTTGTGATTTATTTATTTTAAAGGGAATTCATGCAAGCTACATAGAAATATATATATGTACACATACACGTATATTGTGAAATTTTATGCCAGTTAATTGATGCGAATCCCTACTAGGAGTCTAGCATCACCTGCTGGTCAAAAAGGGAAATGACGGACAAGGCAGGGACTGATTCTGACAAACATTTTATTGAGAAGTTGCACCATATGTGTACATTTTCAAGTTAGAATACAGAAGAAAATGATTTAGGCAATGACAAAGACTGAAGGTACGTAGTAGGCCTCGTCAGGTACTTTACTGGTAAGACATTCTGTTATATGGCTCAGGTTAATACATTGATTCTTTGTCCCAGAGAGCAGATTCTGGGCTTTTTGTGTTTATAATGAACAAAGGTGGAGGTTTTCCCATCAGTAGAAATTGTTGATCTTCTCCTGAGCGTTGCTGAGCCGATCTACGCGGTTCTGCAGCTCTGCCCTCAGGCGGCTGACCTCCGATTCCTCCTTCAGGATGTCGTTCACGTTCCCGCCATCGATCAGCTTCAGCATCTCATGGCAGAGCATTTTCGCCGACTGCTTCAGCATGAAGAAGCGGATCAGCATGGGCACCATATCTGCCAGGCGCTGCAAAACGATCTGGGGGGCAGAGGAGGAGAATTCAGGAATGGAGGGCTTGACCCCTAAAATGGATATCATCAGCCACACCTTTATTGACCACCAGTAACATTACCCAGGAAGCAGACAGCTGTGGAAGTACACAGTATGGACAATTTCAATTATTTGGACACCTGGTCATTATACATACAGGAACTTTAATGACATCCCATTCTAAATCCATAGGCATCAATATGAATTTGGTCCCTCTTTTGCAGCTATAAGAGCTGCCACTCTTCTGGGGAAGCTTTCCACAAGATTTTCGAGTGCGTCTGTGGGAATTCTTGCCCATTCATCCAGAGAAGCCTTTATGAGGTCAGGCACTGATGTTGGACATGAAGGCTTGGCTTGCAATCTCCATTCTGGTTGGTCCCAAAGGTGTTTGATGGGGTTGAGGTCAGGGCTCCGTGTGGGCCAGCCAAGTTCTTCTACACTAACCTCACCTTTGCCTTTATGGACTTTGCTTTGTGCACTGGGACACATAGAAACGTAGAATTGACCAAAATGTCTTGGTATGCTGAAGCATTGAGTTCCCTTCACTGGAACTAAGGGGCCTAGACCATCTCTGGAAAATCGACCCCATACCATAATCCCTCCTCCACCAAACTTGACTGTTGGCACAATGCAGTCAGGCAGGTAACATTCTCCTGACGTCCGGCAAACCCAGACTCATCCATCGGATTGCCAGACAGAGAAGCATGAATCGTCACTCCACAGAACATGTTTCCACTGCTCCAGTGTCCAGTGGCACTGTGCTTTACACCACTGCATCCAATGCTTGGCATTGCACTTGGAGATGTGAGGCTTGCATGCAGCTGCTCGGCCATGGAAGCCCATTCCATGAAGCTCCCAGCATACAGTTTTTGTGCTGGAGTTAATGCCAGAGGAAGTTTGGAACTGCTCAGTTAAAACAGAGCGTTGGTGACTTTTATGCACTATGTGCCTCAGCACTCAGTGATCCGCTCTGTTACTTTACGTGGTCTGACACTTTGTGGCTGAGTTTCCATCGTTCATAAACGCTTCCACTTTGTAATAATACCACTTTCAGTCAACCATGGAATATCTAACAGGGAAGAAACTTCACGAACTGACTTATTGCAAAGGTGGCATCCTATGACAGCACCATGCCTGAATTCACTGAGCCCTTCAGAACGACCTGATATTTCACAGATGTTTGTAAACCTGACTGCATGACAAGGTACTTGATATTATACACCTGTGGCAAGGGGTCTGAATGAAACACCTGAGTTCAATGATTAAGAGGTGTGTCCCAATACATTTGTCCATATATTGTATGTTCAGAGTCTCAGTGAGAAAGTTTATAAATTGATGGTTTTGCTGAGATCCCTTATAATAAATACAGAATTGAGACGTGGAAAAATGCAGATGGAGCTTGTAGGCATCTGTATGCAGTGTAAAATTACCAAAAGGAAGTATCTTAATCACTGTCTCAAGCAGAACCATAACAAAAAGTATGTGAGAAGAGGATCTGTAAGCAGGCTTCAGAGACCCTGAGCCTGATACTGTTGTGCACTACCCATAGACCATCCCAATAGCAGTGAGTGGGGCCTCTACTTTGATGACATTTCTATGCTCTCAAGCTGTTCAGACAGATCACACCTACCTCATAGTAAGCCCTGAGCATCTCAGGGTACTTAGCCCTGCAGTCATAGGCAGAAAAATTGTCTGCAGAGACATTTTGACCTTTGTTTCCAGTAAAACGTTTGAAGTAGATGCCATCTTGTGTGTAGACCAGCTCCTCCATGTTAAACTGCTCAATTATCCTCTCTTCTACCTTGGCCCCCTGCTTCGACTGGATGTTTTCAATTTTGTTCTGGGTGTTTTGTGAGAGGAAGAAGAAAAAAAATGAAGATGAACAAGTAAAAATGTAAACCTACTTTGGAATTAATTTGGAATTAGGTTGTTTGGATTCTTGTGCCCTTGAATGTGTAAATGTTGAAAGGTGTTGATATTATATGTAATTACCAAAGAGATGCACTGAAGCAATGGATAAATACTGAAGCAGTTTTTCGCAATTTCAGTAAGGTGTTTCTGAACAATCTCTGGGAAAAAAATGAAAACATAAATTCACAAAATGCTAATTTAATCACATCGGCTAGGATTTATGTTAATGATTGAAGTTGTAAGGCTGTAACCCAGGTATAAAATAACCCAGGATACCAGGTAAGATGTCACAACTCCACAACGTTCAAACCCAATTTCCTTATGCACTGTCTAAGGTTGAGGTTCCCAGTCCACAGCCAGTATTGTCGTTTCGCAGAACTCTGAGGGTAGAGCTGTCACCCGTCCCAAATAGAGTAGAACCTGATTTTACTTTGAGTTAAATCATTACTGTCACCTGCTTCTGACTGTATAAGCACTACCAATAAAATTTGCGGGAGGGTGGAGGGGTTGGTGAAAGAAAAAAAAATTCATATTAGAATATTCAAGAAATCATCTTGCTTCCTACAGTTTAAGAACCTGTGACCTGTACAACGTTCCTGGGAAGTTTGCAAAAAGATCCACAGAATACGCTGAGATGGCAAATGGCTGCAGCCTCATTTCACACTCTGCTGCCACCTATTGCTGGTTCTTCAGTTTTGGAATGATTTATCTCAGGTCTGTCAGTTGTAGATTTTCATCCATATGCTGTTTTTGTAAAGTAGTAATATGATCCATCAAAGATCTAATACAGTAAATAGAGTAATGATATCAAATAGAGCAGTGTTTCCCAACCCAGTCCTCGGGGAACCGGAATCCTGCACAGTCCATGTTTTTGCTCCCTCCCAGCTTCCAGCCAATCAGGAACACCGAATACCTGGTACAGGTGTGCTGGGAGCTGAAAGGAAGAAAAAACGTGGACTGTCCGGGATTCCTCGAGGACTGGGTTGGGAAAGATATCCTGTTCACAAGGCAAAGGGTCTAAATCACCCTTTTATTTACTGTCACTAAGCACTGATACTTCAGTTTTGGTGCTATTTGTCTCGAAATTTGAACAGTTCAATACAGTTTGGAATAGATCAGACAAATAATTTTTGAGTTATTGCAGTAATAAGATAAAGTTGGTCTTAGACTTGTCATAGTGATTTAAGGATCAGTTAGCTTCATTCTTTTTATAGTTCTTCTGATTGAGTGTAATATTTATGAAGCAGTAAGCGTTCATAAATGACCACAATCCTCATCAGAAGAATGCCACTGTCACCAAGAGCAGCAAATGAAATGCACACCCCTAAAAATTTTCAGTGCACTGGTGGAGAGGATTAATAGCTACAGATACCTCAGAGTAAACATTTCTGAGGACTTGGACAACCCACACACCCATCCTGGTGCCCTACGAAAAACCCTCAACAGCGCTACTGTGGGATCTGTGCTATTCAATTTCATTGCACCGCTGTTGTACCACTACACTGATGCATGTGACAGAATTAAATCTTGAATCTTGAAGTGTCTGAGGCTCCCTTTGCTATCACTATGCAGTGTTGTATTCATTTTGGTGCCATTTGAAATTGTATAATGTCCAGATATTCTCCCATACTTTGTGCATGCAAAGTTTGAAAAAGATCCATGAAATACTTTTAGAGTTATGTTATGCTGTTTACAAGCCTAACAGCCTCTGCAGCCTCCATTTCTTTCTTTTACTGCTACACATCACTGCGGGTTTCATTTTTGTCTCAAAATGAAATAAGCTGCAGATCTTCATATATACACTCACCTAAAGGATTATTAGGAACACCATACTAATACGGTGTTTAACCCCCTTTCGCCTTCAGAACTGCCTTAATTCTACGTGGCATTGATTCAACAAGGTGCTGAAAGCATTCTTTAGAAATG